AATATTTTTCTTTTTATTTTCTTGGTTTAAAACATCTTTTAAAGTTTTGATAGTAAAAATAAAACATCAATAAATTTCTATATTGATTTGGAACAATCTATAAAACTTATTTTCTATTATTCAGGATTTAACATAATGTTTAACAGACAAATAATCTGAGGCAGGGATAAATTAAAATGACACTCCATAAAAAAAAAAAAAAAGTTTGTGATTTTAATCATGGATTTGATTAACAGTGGTCAAGTCCAGTCTACAATGGGCTCTTCTCTTAGTTTTGGATTCGAATTAGGACCAAGGCTCGCTTGTATGTGACATGGTAGGGTTAGTAAATAAATTCAAAAGGACTACTGAAACCCTAAATCCATTGATGAAGATGAAGATGAAGATGCAGATGCGCTTCAGCTTCCCAACTAGAGAGAGGACGAAGGGAGTGAGGAGAACGGGGATTGACATGACAGATTTATTCTTTATGATGTTTCAAGTTTTCTAAGTCATCGTAAACACAAAAGTCTACATATGAAAGACAAAATATACTTGTAACATGGGTGGGAAATTTGTAGTGAAGGAAATGTGAACTTCCTTTCTTAATTTAATTATCTAAAAGTAATGTTCTTAATTTTTTTAAATAAAAATATTTCATAAAAAAATTACAAATTAATTAATTATAATTATAAAGATTTTTATTGAAACAAAATATTGTTTTTAGTTAATATGAGTAGATATTTGGGTAGAATATAAAATATATAATAATATAAAAATATTTAAGTGATTAATAAAAGATTTATCATTATCAAAAAATTAATAAATATAAGTATAAATATAAATAGAAAAAATATTATCAGTAAATTATAAAGACACTTATCGATAAAACAAGATGTCGTTGTTTTAGTCGTTTTAATCGGTATAAATTAATGCTAATATATACAAAGAGAAATATAAGTGGAATTCAAGTAATAATCAATGTTGATCATCCTCAATTTAGAATTTTTCTCTTTCTAAAAATGTTTTCTTTCCCATAAAAATTTCCCATCTTACTCCTTTCTCTTTTATATTTTTCAAAAAAACAAAATGGAAAAGAATGCAAAATTGATGACAGGACTAAGTATTTAATAGATATTACAGTATAGGAATCAAATATATAAAGGTTTTTAAAACCATGATGCCTAATTGATTCATTTCATTAAATCACATGAACCTAGTTGTTATTAACCACAGGAATTAATATATAGTAGCTTGAATAATAGGGATATAAATGTGGACATGCTGGCGGCATAAAACTTTCTGCGTCAAGTATAGGGACAAGTAGCCATATTGTATTTAATTAATAATCTGTTACCTGTGATAGCTGCAATTGACTTCAATTCTGATCACACATACACAAATACACGTCGTTTCTTTGCGCACAATATTTGCTAGAATGTTTTATCAATTTCTTGAATATCTTGTCTATGACACAGTAGAAAGGGATGATGTTGTATCCTCTATACTGTTGGAAGAAAAATGCTATGATCTGAGTTTGCATCACAAAGGATATCATGTTGGATTTTTAATTTGATAAGTTGGTAAAATTTTTAGATATTTATTAAATAATAAATATATTAAACTAAGTAGTATGAGAATTTTATATAGAAAAATTATTTATATTTATAGAATGATTTATATTATAGTTGTGTAAATAATATTTAAATTTGATATTTTCAAGTTATTTTATATAAAAAAATGTCAAGTTTTAATTCTAAATATTTAAATTAGAAGTTGTACTTGCATTTTAAATATAAATAAATAAATTTATTAAATTGATATTAAGTTAAATAGAACTTAGTTGAATAAATTTTTAATAATTATCCTCAAATAAATATAAATAAATATGTGATATTATTTAAGTAAAAAAATATATATTTTATAATTAGTAGTATCAAAACAAACCCAAAAGATTTGAATTCGAGACGTCTCATAAGGTTTTAGTTTCTATAATCGTTGATATGGATTATGGATTGAGATTTCACGTAATTGTAAGACTAAAACTATATTTAATTATGAAAGTGAAACTTTGAATTAATTATCACAAAAAAAAACATATAATATAAATGTTTTAATCCTCTTCAAAGGCGATGAGTGTCTTAGACTCTTAGGCCATCGTTTGTCATTTTAGGAGTGAATTCTACATGCAAATAAATGAAATTGAAAAAAAACGATATGTTTTCTTAACCATCAAATTAATCTTTTAAAATTGATTAATGTTTATGAATCGAGACATCTTGCATCTTGCGAATTGCAATACAAAGCAAGTTCCCTCAGAGTTCCCCGTAATTGCACGATGCGATGTAAGAAAACTGCAGGCAACGTGTTAATTAATCTCTGAAAGTATAAGTGTTCAAGAGGGTCTAATCCCCTCTCCTCCCCATGCTGATAGCACACTGAGAATCAAGACTTTGGAAACAATTTTAGGGTAATTTAAGGCTAAGAACACCAGTACTGTTCTATCTTCACCTGAACCTCAAACATCAAACCACCGTTGCCCCCCAACTCATCACAGCCACCACGTCCCTCTCATCTTCAATATCAAATACCATGGAAAGAATTATCAAAGATGGGATGAGAGAGAGAGAGAGACACCTCAGTGGGCTTAATTTTAATATTAACTGCACTAAACAAACTCTGTCACGAGGAGATCAAGAAGCACGAAGAATTGGTACTCAAGTTCTTTTTGAAGTCCGTAGCTCTAAGTTTTTGGTGGTGCTGCCGCCAACTTCCCATGGCCCATTGTTGCTTATAATGGAAATCTATGACTGAATAGATTGCCATGATCATTGATGATGATGCACATCGTCTTCTTTGTGCTCTTTTAAAGTTAAGGAATTTAGATTTCTTTTGTTCTACTGGAAGAATTCTACTCTGGTGATGGCAACTCAACAATGACGAGTTAAAAAGTCCAATCAATTACATGCCTATTTGTAAGGAAAAAAAGTGTACTATTGTTTTTGTTTTTCTTTCTAAATAATATTATTTAATTGATGAGCTTTCATGTTGAGTTGTAGAATAAATAGAACAACCAATATTAAAGTAATATTAGACTGTAATATGTAAATCAATTAAGAGAGAAAAAGAAGAGATAGTCATGTTATTTAAATTAACTAGAAAAAGTTAATGAGACTGTGCCAACATAAGAAGAAACGCCCTATATATATATATATATATAAATCAACAATAAGCTATATTTTTTAGACGACTTTCAATAATTGAGATTAAATTTTTATTTAAACAATCTTTTTTTTAAAAAAAGCCTACTTTCCATGTTTCCATGAACAATTACTCTATATGTCAGTTTCATGAAATTCAACTTCTCACGTAATTTAATTCAAGAATTTAAATTAAAAATTAGATAAATAAATTTAGATTCACTCAACTTGACACATGACTTGATTCAAGAATTTAGATTAAAAGTTGGGTAGTTAAATTTAGATTCACTCAAGTAAATTTATTATTTTAATTTTTTTTAAATAAATTAATATTTCAAGAATTTAGATTAAAAGTTGGGTAGGTGAATTTGGATTCACTCAAGTAAATTTATTATTTTAATTTTTTTTAAATAAATTAATATTTCAAGAATTTAGATTAAAAGTTGGGTAGGTGAATTTGGATTCACTCAAGTAAATTTATTATTTTAATTTTTTAATAAAAATAATATTATTTTGAAAACTTTTTAGGAAAAGCAAGTAGGATTTCATTCAAATTTTAATCAAACCAATCAAATTATTACTAAATCAATTAAGTTTGACCGGTTCAACTCTAACTTATTTTATTATAAAACTCTAATCAAATTATATCTCGCATCATCAAGTAACCGAATTCACCAACAATGGATCATGTTTAATAACACTAAGGATTCTTAATTAATGGAATATGCAAAACTAACAGAAACCATTGGGGTGGCACAGGGAAAATCGTGACGAATCTCTACCTCTTTCGGCAATCCAGCTGGTTCACATTTTCTGCATAGCTACGGAATGGCTAATCATGGCGAAGACACGTTGAGATTCTTTCTGGGGATGGCGACGTCTTAATTGATGCAGCAGATTCACAGACGAACAACACTTCAATCCGGTGTCTGCTTGCCATACCTTGGACTTAAATTGGCCAGAGCTTCCTCTTTCCTTGTCTTTTACTGATAAAAGAGTTTTAAATGCTGAGTTGTTTGTTTCAGTATTTTAAAAATATAAATTTGAAATTTATTTATTTATTTTAAATTAATATATATTTAATATTTTCAAATCATTTTAATATATTAATGTCAAAAATAATTTTTTTAAGATAAAAAAATTATCAATATACATTATAACATAAAAAATTATTTAAAAATGTTAAACAAACTCTAAATAAAAGACTTTATTCTATTGCTCCTGCATGATCTTGATCCAAAAGATCACCAGCTTTAGATTTTCACACCTTTTATTTCTTAATAAAATAAAATTTACAAGTTTCTTATATATTCAAGAAGAAAATAAAGCTCATTCTTATGGGGAAAAAAAGTTTCTCTTAACTTACCTAAAATTCAAGAAGAAAATAAAGCTCATTCTTATACAAGACTTTAACCATTAGATTTATGGGATAAATTAATATAATCTAGTCCTTCAATACAATGTGCTTTTTAGAGAAAGAATCTTGGTTAAATTAGCCATTATTGTTATAAAACCTAGTCTAGCGCTTGGACTTGGTTAATTTGTTTTGGAATCGAACAAAGATTTAATCCGGTTAACCATAAATGATTCAAGAGAATAGCTTGCAACTCGACAAACTTGATAAAATCTAGTAAAATTCATATAGGTAAACAAATTGCGAGCCTTGCAATAACTCATGTTTCCTAGCATCATAAAGTCCATTTCCCCCTTTGCCTTTTGCGTTACGCAAGTTACATTCCTTTCCTTCCACGTCCAAGAAGCCATAGAAGGAAAAAATGGGTTGCGCGAAGGGCTGAAAGCCAAACTGCAGATAGGAAAAACGTTACAGAATCGCCACCGTATCTGCCAGAAGGATTTGATTCATCTTCTAAAACAGTGAACATAATCTGTAGGAATCCATAAGCGCCAAAAAAAGCACTCGTCCATTCGAGTCCCCGAGCAAACAGAGTAAGAAATCCCCCCATCCCTGCCCCCTATTAGTCGTTCTAGTCCCTATGAACCTTATAGTGCCTAGCTAAGACACTTAGCCATAACATTCCATATATAGCATGAACAGACAGACCAAAAAGTTAAAACAGTAGGTGGTAGGTAAGTCCCAACTTTCAAGGGATGTTTGCCATCATTATTGTTGTTGTTTTGTTTCCTTGGAAGAGCCCTTGCTGCCAACTGGGTACTTGATGGCATTGAGTCCCACTTTCCTCAGAGCAGCTTTGCCTAGGTCAATACCACAGATATCAGAGAGCCTGACAAGGTATAGCAAGACATCTGAGAGCTCTTCACCAAGATGTACTTTATCCTCTTCTTTCCAACCAGGAAGTCCCTTGGGGACCTCTCCTCTCCACTGAAATATCTCCGATAATTCTCCAACTTCACCCACCTAAGAACCATCACCGTGTAAGGATCACACAGAAATAAGCCTTTAAAACACTACGATCATAGACAAAGTTACTCTCTCGTTTGTCATTTTTACTTTATAGAGGAAAAGCCAAGGGGAAAAGGTGTGTTCCAAATATTTCTTTTGACATGGATCGATGACAACAAAAAGGGCAATCTTTTTGCATAGTTGGTCACGTTTGACTAGAGATAAACATGAAATAGTACAGCACCTGTCTCACACACCTAACTTTAGATTTAAGCAAGGGATTATGGAAAACATATATTAAAATTAAATCCCATCTTGAGTTAATTCCTAATGAATCAAATAAAACAAATAATTAAAACCCAACTCATTAAAAAGAAGAATTCATCTGGTCAAAAACAAAAAGGTATAGACAGAAAAATGAAAGAAAACTACAGAGAAACACATACAAATTCATTCCATATGCATGATCATGCCTCTTTTTTGGGTCATGCAAAACCAAAAGGTTCATATAAGTCATAAGTACTACTTAGGCAGACCCCCCAAAAAAAAAACAAGAAACCATAAGTCATAAGTACTACTTAGGCAGACCCCCCCAAAAAAAAAAAAACAAGAAACCATAAAAAAAATAGTTGTAATACAACAAGAAGAGAAATAAAGACAGAAACAAGAACATACCAAAGCCAACAGCAGGTTCCTGGGGCTATGAAACTGGTCCCAGTTCCTTTCCTTTGCAAACTCGGCCATTTTTTCCTTGAGGAGATCAAGAGTGACACTTGCTCCTTCGGTTGCCTTTGTCATACTTATTTCCCTAGAAGAAGAGAAGAAAAAGACTTACACGAGAGAGCAAGAAGCAAGAAAAAAGCTATATGGAAAAGTTGGGTCTTGGGTGCAACTTTCTTGGAAAGGGTCCGAGTGTTTATATAGACAGAAAAGGGGATAGGTTAGGGGAGAGAAAGTGACAGGCCAGAAGACAAGAGGCTGCTGGGACAGGGAGGGAGGGAGGGCGTGAAAGCGAGAAGCCTTCAATCTAGCTATATATTGTGTAAATACTAAATAGAGTGATTTCTTTCTTCGCTTGCCTTTTCAGGCTTCGTAGGGGAAAAGCCAAACGGGTCATTGCCAGATGACTCGGCTTTTACGTATTGTTCGGAGCTAATTCTCTGTCTATAGTATTAATTTAAATCTAATAAATAAATAAGTTAAATGTTTTAATGGTAATTTCTCTTTTTTAATACAGTAAATTGACTTCTAATTTATTTTTAACTATTTTTAAAAATTAAATTAAATTCTTAACTATCAGAATATTTCTAGATATAAAATTTTATTAAAATTTCTAATCCCAAAAGTTTAACTACATTGATGGAATATGTCCCTACACTTTCGTAGCTTTTCATAAAGGTTCACTTATTATAGATTTTGTTTGATCGAGGACTTCAATTTTTAAAAGTTCAAATCAATTACAAAATAGCGCCAATTAAAGATCTAATATCCACGTTCAATAACATAATATATAAATATAAGCATAGAAATTATTTACTAAACAACCTTAAACAATGAAAAAATAATAATTTATACATACATATATGTATGTATGTATGTATGTATGTATAATTAAAGATCTAATATCCACGTTCAATAACATAATATATAAATATAAGCATATAAATTATTTACCAAACAACCTTAAACAATGAAAAAAATAAATAAAACGTTTATGTTATACATACACACACATACATATATGTGTATACACATACATACATACATCTATATATATACATACATTTATATATATATATATATGTGTGTGTGTGTGTGTGTGTATTTCCTATATAAATTGAGGGTGGAAGAACACAACGCAATAACAATTCAATAAAAATCAAAAACATTAATTATTATGCAATTGAACTTAGCTTTCAGAATTTTTAAAACTTGTTTCTCGGTAAACTTGTAATCTTGTAAGGGATATAATTAGTAAGTGTATAACTTGTAGGCGTCTAACTTATAAACTTATAATTTTCATTGTTATCCCGTAGTCTTGTAATTTTTTTATATTAAAAAAAAAAGAAAATACCAAAAATATGTATATCAATTTATTTTCTTATGTCACGGAATTTCTTTAAAAAAACCCAACAAGAACTAAAATTGGTTTTAAAAAGAAAAAAATGAGAAAATTGAATCAAAATCTTCAACTCGTTTCGGTTATGATCACCTTAAATAAAAATCAAATGACAATTGAATAAAATACCGTTATTAGTAAATGATTCTTGCACACTATATATAATTAAACAACTTGGCATTATATAATTTCTCTTTTATTGCATTAATCAACTTTTCTGTGGTTTTTTTTTTTGTTTTTGTTTTTGTTTTCAGAGACATGGACAAGACTGCTCTTGTTACTTGAGAAGATAGCAATATCTTACCAGATGATAGCTGTGATAGCTTTACATTGCCACTTGATGGAATCAATTTATTGCCTTTCTTTGGGACCAATGAGAGGAAATCCCCACTGGAAACAACCAATAATTTGGATATGTATGTGAGCTAAGACTTGCTTGTCATCCTCTTAAATGTTCTTTGCTATTGTGTTTTTAATTGTATTTGAGTGCATTTTAAAAATACATCAATTTTTAAAAAATATTAAATTAATGTTTTTTATTATTATTTTCTAATAATTTTGATGTGTTGGTTTTAAAAATAAAAAAATAAAAAAAAATATTATTTTGATATATTTCTAAATAAAAAACTTTCTATATCATAATACCAATCACACATATCAATTTTTTTTTCTTTTTCTTTTTTCCTTAGTTGTTTCGGTACCAAGAGGATTCATCAAGTATTGGATTAGGTTGTACGTTTCTTCTTAATATTATTCCTTTTATCTTAGTGGGAATTAAATTGGTTCTCAGAATCACTAATTTAAATGAGGCCCATGATTAGGTTTTAAAAAGAAATTATTTAGGAATTAATGTACGATCCTAGTTGAAAACTCTTTTATTTTTTTATTTTTAAAAATTTAAAATGACATTATTTTGATTTTTGGAAAAATAAACCCAAGTGAAAAACTCCTGTGGATAAACTCTGTAGCTTTATTGACACATAGTCCATCGTTGAAGGGAGTTAATTGCTAGTAATCAGCGGAAACAAGGACCTAATTCCAGCATAAGAAGAGTTCAGGGATGATTTTGTCACCACTCTAATCTATGAAGTTAAGAAAATCGACTCTCTAATCCGAAAGCATGGGTGCATGGTTGTTAAAAAAGTTGTCAAATCATGAAATCTTAGGTTTTTACAATCCGAGAAAGCATCAACAATTCAAATTAATCGTATTTAAAATCACAGTTATTGAGATCCTAGTAAAATAAGTTGTTCAATTGGTATAATTGTTAAAATTTCGATTTTATTTATGATTTTATGTTTTTAAATTTTAGGGTTACGAGGATATATATATATATATATATATCCATAACCTTAGCCCTTATTAAACTCTATATTTTTTTTAAAATCAACACATTAAAAATTAAGTTTTAATAAAATCAAGTTTAATTCGCATAAAAAAGCAAATCAATCTAATTTTTTATCTGAATTTTTTAAATTATTTTGTACTTTGATGTTATCATTAAAAAAAAGGCCCCCCACCCCGTCTATAGTTTTCTTCAAATCCAAACATGATTCAGAAGCATGAATCACATGATTTGATATGTCCTTAGTTTTCTGAAAGCCCTTAAATTAATTTCACTGTGATGAAATATTATGCCATATAATGACTTGATATATCCATTAATGTTTGTCTGACTGGAACAATATTTTTCTTATATTCTTTGTGAACAAACCTTGTTTTGCATTAGCACAATATCAGTTAATCGACACAAAGATGATTAATGCGTTATTTTTAAGAATATTATTTAATAAAAAATATATTAAAATAATTTTTCTTATATTTATTACATTTCAAAATAATCTAAAAATACTTAAAAAATATTAATTAGTTCCTAGTATATTTTTTAAGATAAAAATTTTAAAAAACAATTTAAAAAGTATATCTATCCACGAAAACAAACACTTTATACATTACATATCTGTTATTAATGATAAAATTAATTAGTTACAATAGTTATTAGAGAGATAATTAATTAATTACTAGTATATTATTACCAGTAAAAATAATGATGTAGGTATTATTTTTATTTATCATTATAGAGTTTGTAAAAAAAAAAAAGCTCCTCCATCTAGACAGTCGTCCTTCCATTAATTTTTTTATTTTTTATAACCCTCCTTTTCTTTTTTTTTTACAAAACTCTTAAATTTAAAATTAATAAAGGCATTTAATTGATCATATTTCATGAATACAAGTAATTAAATAAACAATGTACGAAATAAATGTATTTCTAAATTGTCTTAAAAAATATATATTTATGCAGATTACAATCCACCCACAAACAAATGATATGAAACTTTCAAATGCTTAATATAATTGTTTGACTAGAGCTTGAATATCTTGGTGTTTCAAGAATTTCTGAAGATTTTATTCTGCCAACTAAACATATTTTCCCATTTTAATTTCTTAGCTCTAGCGAAGATCATGTGTGTGGACACCTCTTTCAAGTGATGCAATCGTGCTGTAAGCATTGCTTAAGTTTCTTTATTATTTTGCATTTAAAATATATGTCGTGTCCAAGTGGCCGTATTAGAGGAAGGATTTTGTTCACATAGTTTGATTAATTAGATATTAACAACCTTAATCTCCAAGTAAAAGATACATGATCTTGTCTCAAATTATTTAAGCATGTCATGTCCCACAAAAACACGTTCTTGATTAATTAATGCAAGCACTATTTACCCTTATAGTTTTCAAAATTGTTTTATTGAGAACCCTGCCCCTTTTTCTCCTTGGCACAATCAATTGATCATTTACGTGATTTATAAGATCGTTTGGTTTGATATTGTGATTTTTTTTAATATTTTTTTTTATCTAATTACTGGAAAAAAACTGACTAAATATAAGCTTTTTACTAGAAAGAATAATGTAATTAGAGGCAAAAACTAGATCTCACACACCCATCCTCTTCCTCTAATTGTTTATTACCGCATTTCACGGGCATTAGGATCACAAGTGGGGAACTCTATGGAATTAAGAATATAAGATAGCTAGAGCAAAACAATAATAAATAGTATTTAGTTATTATTTTAGAAAAAAATAATAATAATATTAGACAGAGATAATATAGCTTCCGTATCCTTTCGTTTTTATATTATAAAAATTCATTTTAAAATTATTTCGCAAACATATCTATTGTTATATTTTTTTTATTTTAACAATCAAATATATATATATATATATATATATATATATTTTAATCAAAACAACATGGAGAAAACGTCTCCTATTTAGTTTGATATACTAATTAATAATGAACTAAAAAATTGAATTAAAAAAGAGAACCAAGTTATTTTGCCGACATAGACAAGGATTCACATGCTAAAACGTTAATAAATCTCTTCCTTTACTAGCAAATCCTTGCAGCCTCAGGATCAACCTTCAAGTCTCTATCAATTCATAACATTATCGCAGACCGAAAGTGAACTTGTATGATGAACATGTGAGCATTATCAGCAAGATTTTTCAAAGATTCAACATGTATTTTTGGGCATGTCTCCTGGATTTCGGCTATAGAACAAAATAGTAGCTTAAAGTTTAGTAAGGAAAGCAGGGCAATTTGACCCTAATGTCTTAGACTGGTTAGTGTCGGCAAAGGAAGGGGCACTCGACAGGGAAATGACCCGTGAGAGATCGTGTCTCTTTTTCTGCTAATAATTTCGTGTTTCATAACATAATTGTGATGTTTGCAAGTGTGTCAAAACTAAATATAAGGGTAGAGTTTAATAGATTTTTTATCGGAAATTTTAAAAATAATAAATATTTATATAATGGTGAGATCAAGATATTTATTTAAATAAAATAAAGGGGAAATGAGAAGAAATTTGAAAAAAAAAATCAATCCA